TCACGCAGTCTACTACAGCGAAATGTGAACGGAGGTCGTGAGGCTATTTTTGTCGTGTTTCTTCCCGAGGCGGGTGAATACGGTCTGGAGATCTACGCGAACAATCCTCTTCGAGATGGAAACTCATTCTTTGTGGTATGTGATTGATGCTGTGGCTCATACTTGTGAACGAATCAACCAGTCAACCCCTCTCATCAACCTGAAGTGTTCTGGGATAATGCTGTAAATTACCCCCTTGAGAGTATATCTCATGGAATATGACAATTAACCGTTAACTGTATTGCCAAAATGTGCAGTGTTCAACGCGTCGGTTCTCATCGCAAGCCATATAGGCGAGCTCGAGTTTGTATCGTTTGCCCCTTATAATTCAAGCAACCGAAAACCGTAATTGTTGTGTGTTTGGTGCAAGTGAGATTATGCGTTATCTGGAATATCTCCGCTGTTCTTGACTGTTTTCCCCCAGAACAAACCGGTTTGTCCAAATAACGCATGCAGAAACTATTTTCCTCAACACGAATCTCATACAAAAGCTGATGGGATGACACTTATGCGAAAGGATGAAAGGATGCTTCTACTGTCTTGGCCCTCGTGTGATACTCAACTCCCATTTGTTGGCTTCTAATAACTGTAAACACGAAGTAGCTGAGACAAATCAACTCAATTATTTTGGAACCGGTCGGAACAGATTAACTGCCTGATCCACCGGTTATGAACACAAGTTTTACTTCATTTGGAACTGAACGCTGCCATTAGCCACACAACCTCATGCTATCTTACGGGATGCACTTGGCCTCCCAAAGATTAGATTAGCTCCCTTGATAAAAAAACCGGGTGGGACTGGCGACCTCACTTCTTAAACTATTCTTCAGTATCTTCACGAACGTTCTTTTAGCTGCGATCCGTGACATCTGGGAAAACGACTCATTCTCTTACAGGTGCTGGCCGAAAAAATGCTATTCCATTCATTTGTAGTTTTCTATTCTGACAGCTACGTATCTTTCCCTATATTCTGTATCCCAACCTCCCCCCGCGTTATTTTCATTGTTATTATTGTTTTGGCGTTGGCACCAGGCTGGTGTTATATATACATATATTTACATATATATTCAGTCGACCAAATGTGCCCACGTTCAAACTGACGCGTACCGTGCTGCAGTAGTAGCAAAAAGCGTTATTCTTCTTTGTAGAACTTTGCTGTCTCACGCTGATTCATATTGTGGTGCTGTGATGCTTTCCATACGCCAGTCTCGTCGTGAATAATACGAGGTGTATCACACTTCTTATGTGGGATTGTCTGGTTGCGATTGCGTGTCATTCATTCTGACCAGGAACACCAAAGGCACACCCTGAATCCAACAATAGGACAACCGTTCGCGTCACGGTTTCTCCCTTTTGATCACGATTGGTAAAGAAAACCTCCGCCGTTCGGGGCCATCTTTGCATTCTGGCCTACTGTCTGTGTGAGGAAAAGTGAAAGTAGTGCGTCGGGTGATTGCTATCAGCGATGTAGCTTCGTACCATCTATATTTGAAACTTTGTTCACGGTTCGAGGAGCTATCAATTTAGTCGTCATTCCTGAACTGATTGCCGGATTAAATGTTGTCCGACGAATTCATTTTTCAGTGTAATTACATCACGGATTTTTTCATTTTTCGTCGTTCTAGGTCTGGCAGTACATCATCTTGTCTGATAGTGAGTCTCCGGTTCGCGGTCTTCCGAATGTTCCACCGGCCTATTTGGGTCCCATGCCCCGTTTCGAGTCGATGGGCTTATCCACTGCCAGCCATCCAGATCCGTTTGTACAGGCCAACACCGGAGAGTTGTGTATCCAACTCAATACGCGTCCGGACATTCCACTCCGTATTATGGCCCAGTTAATTCACGCCAGCAATGACGTCTCAGAGGATTGTTCGCAGCAGGTCAGTGTGATCCAATTATTGCCTTGTGTGTATGTGTCACACTCTTCAAAGGTCTGACACACATATCCACTGGTTTACCCCCGACTACCCGCTGCGAATCGCTGTGTAGGCTTACGGTTCTGATGCGAAAGTATATAGAGTCAAACTCATCTTCACTTTGCCTCTGTCAGATGAATCAAACGGTTCATCTGATGCAAATCAAACTTTTGTTCAGCTGTTCGAATAAGTATGATTACGAAATAGCATTAGATGGAATGGCAAGACGAATGAGTTAGAAAAGTAAACATTTGCTATTATTGGTAGAGAATACGAACTGAGTCTTCCGAGCCTTCATCCGGATGTATAGGTTAATGAATACAGTGTGCTTTCATGTGGCTTTCTGCATTTTCCTTGTAAAGATCATAGAACATTGCTTACACACTCGGTCTGGATTTTGGCTCATGAGATGAACAGAAGCATCTCTCCGGGTTAACGTCGATGCAAACTGAATGAGGAAATGCTAAAGTATCTCCCATACAATCCTTTGTATTCCGTCGTAGTTAGATTTTGAGAATCGGGATACCAAATTCAAATCCAATTCAAATTTTTATTATGGGATATAACTTACAAAGACTTCACTTTTTCAAATCCCATAGGGTGTTTACACTGGTTCGGATCACGATTCACAATATCACAGTTAGTCCATGGAAGTAAAATAGTAAGGTAATGTTTTGACGAGCATAGGGGAATATGTTATGNCAACTTCAGCGGATGCCCTCTGAGATGAACGTTGTGCGATAAAACCAACAGAGATCTACATGGATGGTTGGGTTGTTGGAAAATCCGGTAGAGTAAAATCATATCGCCTCTGGTTTGACGATATTGGGATGAGTATAGCCACAGGAGCTGTAATCTTTCTCCGTAGGTAACAGTTAGCATAGCTGAACCAATTGCTTGTTCGTATACTTCAGCGTAATGGATACCTTGTTAGACTTATATGCAAAGCACGTACCTCCGTTTTCTTTCTCTCTCCCCCTGTTCCGCCCTCTCAACACTTACAGGTATTGCAACAGATGCGCGATAATCAAGTGTTTTTCCTCATTCGATTCCCACATCCTGGTTTCTTCAAATTCCAAATCTACGCGTTACCTTTCTCCGAACCGGGTGAATCATTACCCGGAGTTTTCAACTATCTCCTTGAGGCGACCCAAGTCCATCGTGGTCGTAACGGTCAAGTGATGCCTTTCCCACAACAATTTGCTCAGTGGAAAGAAGGCTGCTATTTGTACACACCTCTAGACGGCATTCTTTCACCGGCTAGTTGTAGCACTCCCCAATCGGACATGATCCCATTTCGTGTGTCCGTGCCCCGAGCGCATGCTGTCGCTGTGGTTGTCGGTGATGATTGGACACACTTGAGCAAAGTGCTCGATCGATGGGATGGACAAGTCTCACTAAAACCACACTGGGGACGCGAACATCAGCTATCTCTGTGCGCGAACTATGACGATGGAGACGGCAACTACGGCACACTACTTGAATTCACCTTATCCTCGCGCTAGGGAGAGATTTTTCGCACGCACGCACGCACGCGCGCGCACGCACACACACACCGATCAGTTGTTTTTTATTGTGCATGCCCACACACACTCCCGATTTACTGTTTCCTTTGTTTGCCGTCTCCTGTAAGCGGTCCTGTCCTGGAACGACCTGAGACAAGAGAGCCAGTGCTGCTGTCTGACTATAGTGATCTAGTCATTTCATTTGGCCAAATCCCCCGAGGGGAGCCGGTCGTAACCGTCGACTGCAAATTCTTCCATTAAACAAAACGTGAAATCTGGCTTGTTGAAAAATACACTCGCTCTCTACGTTTTTCTTTGTCCTTCTGAGAACATTGGGGTCCACTCAAGCGAAAACTGCTCAATAACCCTCTGTCGGTGACCATATTTGTGAACATCTATTTGTTGGTCTCTGACGGAGTGTGTGTCTCTGTCTGGCTCGATGCTCATTATTAGCAGACAAGCACATGCATAATTGTGAATAGAGTGACCCTCAACCCGATTGTGCCTTGTTTTTTCGTCCTCCTCTATCCTCTAACCCCGTTTCCTTTGCAATCACTCCCTATCAGCTCTCATGCTCTCGTGAATGTAGTTATGAACTGATCGGACATGTCTATATTGCTAAATGACCTCTTCTTCCTCGTCGTCCACCTCCTGTTCATACATAAAATAACCATTCTCCTTTGATGTGACACCTGTTCCTGTCCTCGTGTGTCCGTTTCCCACTCTTCCACTATAGTTGATTTATCTCCCTATTTTGTCAACCAGTGCTGTGAGTAACAGCTACGCAAATTTATTGAGACACCGAAGCCGAAAGAGTTTTCGACTTCTTGCCTTATCATTTTTTCTGAGTCCTTTTTCCACTCCAGACTGTTCTGATCATACCTCCTGGTTTTTCCTCTATTCATAAAAGATCAATCGTTCAACTGATCATTTTATGGATCAATCAATCAGCTAAACAATCAATCAATCAATCCCTGATTCGATACTGATATTCCTGCCGTCGGCGTTGCCTTCCTTGTTCACTCCCACCTGTTTACCCAGTTCCGGAGGAAACTCCATCACACGAAATGATCCCCATTTAAACTTTTGCTCTGTTCCTCAATCTATCTTAAGGTCTGCAGCCTGCGTTCGCGCGCGCATTCGTGTATTGTCGCTCTTTTCTGGCTTTCAGCGTGTACTTTTTATTTCATCTGGCTCTACTCAACCCATCTCTTCTCCACTCCCTTATTTCTCTTATTTCCTTGTGCACCACTCACTTGCGAACTACTTCAGTATTCTCGGAATATACCAGCGACACACATTGTTGTATGCTAAACGATGCATTACACCGTAATTTTGTGCGTCACTTATGCTCGCTGCCGGTCCGGTTTTAATTGGGTCTCGGACTGGAGGAAGAGATGGGTATGCTTTTATGCTACCCGTACTATGGCAAAAACACGTAAACCGAGTTTATGTGTACCCCTGTCAAAGTTGGGTTTAATAAGCCATCGTACTGCATTCTCCGACGAGACTTTTGCGAGTGTTGCCTTGTGAACAGCTAGAGCAATTAGTGTGAGTCAACCAAACACTCAGTCCTTGTGATCATTTTGGATGCCAGCACTTCGCAGTCAATTTGCCTAGTTACGTGAGCCAGCACCGATTTTATAGCTCGTTTCATGGTTTTTGAGGCTCAAACGCTATGTCTAGCTGAACTTTAGAATGGTCTATCGCGAACAACGCATCCCACTGATGAGGAATCACTGAATGATGCATCGAGGAGTGAGACTGTACACCTATAAGATAGGATTAATTTAAACATGTAATTGTAAACAGCGAGGAAGTAAGTGTGCCGCTGAGAATATACGTGTGATCACTAAACTAAAACAGTGTACCTGAGAGAAAATAGTACGAAGGAAAACTGTCTACAGAATGTGAACCATGGGAGCAGAATGGATTGCCAAAACGATGTTGCTTGTTTATCGAATGTGCTCGGAACCCCCGTTTCGTTATCAATCGAGGGAAACGCGTAGAAAGCACGAGCATTCAGATAATGCTCGCACGCATCGGGCACTTTTTTGTGACACTGATATAAGGACAAGAAGAACAGTGTGGGTCAAATTGATTTTAGTCCTCAATTTGGAGTGCGTTCAATCAACTATGAACGCACATCATATATCATTGTGTAATAAATGAGTGAGGAGATTGACAATCAAGAGCGAGATCCCGGAAACCTTAGGCCACTGAGTGTAGCGTTTTTGAAAACTGATAACAACGATCGACTTTCGTCAGTGTAGTGTGGTCGCAATGAGCAGGGTGTAGGAAAGAATTTCGGGTTCCGTGATCAAAACAGAGTGAGTAATGCGTGAAACAGATTGACAAAGGGGATCAGAGTTAGGTTGAAATGAGGGGAGCGAGCTTCAGTGTGTTTAGGGTCGTTTTGGTTACTTCCGTAATGTGTTTTGAATTTTTGAGTCAAGTGTTGACCAAAGTCACTTCTGCCCACATTGTTCTTGGTATTTTTTAACTGATGAACTGTTCAGAATGTTTCGAACGTCGTTCTCATTTTCTGCAAACTGGAGTGTTTAGTCAGTTCAGATTGTCTGATAAAAATGGACCTTGCACGTTGTATACAGATAGAGCGGAACGGTGTAAACAGCTGCCCCACAGGTGCTTGCGTTGTGCTGTTGAGGTTCGATCCACATTTTCGGAGTCGAATTCTTAGCATCGATAGAACAGCTGTTGAATGCTTGTCATTTTTTCAGTTCTCGTTCTGTTGGTGTTATGTACGACAAATTGCATTCCTTAATATCACTATGTAGGTGTATAATCAACAACAACAACAACAGCGATTTGCGGATCAATAAAAAAAGCACGCCAACACAATATGTCCTACTACAAAAGAAATATGGATCTCTCCAAAACTGTTGAGTTCGTCACACATTGGATACAAACCCTGGTGATGAACGTATGAACCTTTTCACTTGAGTTCATGTAGCATGGTGCAAAAGCGTAAAGAATATGCAGGACCAGGTGGGCCGCCAATAGAAAGTAACCAAAGAACGATTGAAAAAATAGGAGAATTTCGGGGTTCGAATGAATGACACGACAGGCTTTACTGCCCAATGACCACCCTCTGTCAATTTTACTTACAATTAAATTGCAACTAAAGCTGATTTTGATGCCCAATTCGATTAACACGTTGCTTTTGCTTTACCCCCTAGGATCACGCACTGCCCCGTTCGTCACTCGCCACATTGTGCGATAAGTTGACATCCATCTAGGCTTTTGACAGCATTGTTAAGCAATTGTGCCATTCACCATGATCTATTACTGGGCAATCGAAGAAATTTAGATTGTGCATACCATTTGGCTCTTCTTTAGCCAAGTGCTCTCTTCTGTCACCTTTAAAGTTTTGTCATTATTGTTGGTATTATTTCACCGCTAACCTGAAACAGATCAGGTGCTAACACGGTGCACAGAAACCGGAAACCTTGGCAACAAAGAAAGGAAGAATGGGACTTAGTGGTTCGTGTTTGTTTCGTTTCGGCTGAGGTTGTGAGCTGTTATGTCGTTTGGTCAGAGCTTCGCTGTCTTCCGGCTGAATATCACGCCTAACCCGGCAGGGCTTTATGTGGCTTGTCACACCAGTCCCGGGGCTTAGGTTGCCGGGTTCCGTGAGTGAACAGCAGGTCCTTACGCCTATGGGGTTTACCTCGTCTACTATTCATCACACAGTGTCTAGTAAAAAATAGCATGGGAATTTGGTTGGAGGGATCTCACCTCGAGCCTTCGATAGAATAGTCTGTTGACCAGTGTTTGAAATCCTCGATTCTATTAGGGGGACGGGAGGAGATTCCGTCGATCTGAGCTGTCACATGTGGGATGCCAAACGGAGTCGCTGATAGTCTTTCCAGTCGTCTTGGAGGCACTTCGTCCCCCTTATTATGGATGGGTGGGAATCCGTATTTTTCGACTCCCCTGAATAATCCAGATGTCGATAGCTCGTCAACCTGGTTTTCATCCAGGAGATTGGTTTTTCGCCCTCATCAGTGTGTTCTGTAATTAGTGAATCGATTGGGTTGCATGATGCACGACTGATGATCATCAAACCACGACGAATTGTTTTGAAATCTTGCTTTAAAAGATCGGGGAAACACCACAAGGGAGCAATAGAGTAGAATGAGTAAAACACACTGATGGAAGAAGGAGGACAGGACTGACTGTGCGGTTCGGGATGACGGGAGTACTTTTGATCACCAATGGTGATGATCAATCATTATTCAAAAAATGTAAAGCATAGCTTAGATAAAATGATTTAATTGCCTGAACAGTCCCACAGAGCACATTTTAGAAAAAGCATCAAGTGGCGAACACGCTCGTTTTCACTTTTTGGTAATCGTACCAATCTATACCACTTATTAAAGGGAACATTGTCTGGGAGGCAGGAAAAAATCACATCATTCATGGCTAGGAATGATTCCATCCATATGGGAGATTCACAAGGATCACAGTCGTTTGTTCATTCAACCGATCATCTACATTAATCCCCGTGGGTTGGATCAGGGAGTTTAAGCGCACAAATCAGAGGTGGTGTGTGTAGAGAAATCTCCGCCACATCTGTTGTGGCCAGCATCCGACTGCAAACCGGTTTTGATTCTCGATCGAAACTTGACACCAGAAGCGGAATGCATCGGCCACTTCCACGGCGTGATTTTTTTCAGCTAGGTGTAAAACCACTGCATCTTACTGAGCATGAATGAACTAATCGTTCCTGTATTCAGTCATGCAGGTGGTGGCTTTCAAGAATCCGTCCGGACAAGCACCTCACCATGCAGCCTAGGTACACTTGTCCGTGGGAACAACTAAACAAGTATAAACAGAATGAGGCATTGTGCCGTCCGTTGAAATTCATTTTCTAATTTGCCCAGAGTGAGTAATTCACCTAACCACTTTCGCAGTTTCCCTTATTTGACCGGAAAATGAGTGTTGAAGGTCGTATACTAAAACGTTCAATTTCTGTT